TAAAATGTTTTAAGCTGTTCTGTGTTCAGGAGGTGATTGTAGTCTTTGACATTAAAAATGTTTAATCATTTATAAACTATGATTTTGCTCAATTGCTCCATAGTAACCCATTCATTCTGGACTCGCTCAAGAGCGCCCTCTAGCGTTTGAGAAACCAGGAAGACATTGCAGAGTGGAACTTCACTCTACAAGCTCTCTGCTCTTCCCCCCACATCTCTCTCTCTCTCTCTCTCTCTCCTCTCTCTGAGCTTTTGCCTTAGTTAGAGATTTTGCGATTTAGTGACATCTAGTGGTGAAGATGCAGATTGCAACCAGCTGAACCTACGGTGGCCGGTATGTTTTCCGCCGTCGTCTCTCCCAGTTTCGTTTTGCTTCTTCCTGTTTTCGTTTCTGTGATGATGAGGATTCGCTCTTCCTCGCCTTTTCCTGTGCTAAATAATAGCGCGTTCAACGTAATTCAGCGCTAAAACGTGAAAGGCGCCCTCTAGAGCCTCTGTTGGAGGAGGAGCCACCAGAACCGGTTAAGGAGGAGCCTGGCTGCTTCTTATTTCCCCCCGTTTAATCAGAAACCAGAGAACTTGTAGAGGAGAACTATCACTCTGTAATGTCTTCCTGGTTTCTCAAACACTAGAGTCCAAAATGAGTGGGATAAGATGGAGCATTTGAGCTTTTAAACTCGAGCTATAGGAGTTTAAAACAGCGCCTCATGTACGTTCATGACTTCAGTGAGCGCGAACAGCCAATAAGCTGCTCCACTCGCCAACCAATCAGCACTCAGTAGCAGTAATGGCAGCCTTCTGCTGCCCAAAACCCGTTTTCTATAATAAATAATAAATAATTGTTTTTTTTAGTGAAATACATCCTTCTACCTTCTAAAATTAAAGGAAAGTTCTGAGCGAGTGATTAGAACTATTTTAAATTTTCGTTTTTAGCTGTTTAGCTCCCTTCACCCTGTTTCATTGAGGACTCGGCCCCGGATGCTCTCTGGTGTTTTGCAGTCATGTTTTTGAAATAACGGGGGAAATAGGAAGTAGCCAGACTCCTCATAAACGGGCTATGGTGGCGCCACTGTACATGTCTGGACATGTATGTGTGTTTTTCCTTGTAAAAACACTCAATAGAATTAGAGATTTCAAATATGTTATTATCAATATCAGCATATTAAATTATGCAATTAACTGCACTAATTTGTAGCCCAATTTTCCGGTGTTGTTGCGACAGAATCTGTGATTGTAGTGCTCTCATTAAAATACAGCTTAAATGTCTTTCAAAGCGAAACATTCAGCAGTCTGCGCTGGACAGACACGTGAAGGAGAACTACGGATGAATCAACCAGCAGCAAACCAACATAAGCAGCAGTGAAGTGGAGCTCCAGCTCCCCTGTTATGTTATTTGTCATCCCATTAGGGTTTCCTCCGCTCGCCAACCAATCAGCACTTAGTAACAGTAATGCTGCGTCCTGCTGCCCAAAACCTGTTTGCTGTAGAGAAAAGGAAACATACAGGTGAGATTTCTTTGCTTTTTTAGTGAAATACAAGCTTCTGTTTTCTAAAACTAAAGGAAAGTTTGTTTAAGTGATTAGAAACTATTTTAACTGTTCATTTTTAGCCATTGAGCTCCTGATAAACCGGCTCCGTTCTGGCCCCTAAACGGCTAAAAACAAAAAAGTTAAAATAGTTTCTAATCTCTCGCCCAGAACTTACCTTTAAATTGAGAAAGTTTAAGTTTGTACTTCACTAAAAAAGCACAGAAAACTCACCTGTATGCTTCCTTTTCTCTACTGAGTGCTGATTGGTTGGCATGCAGAGCAGCTCATTGGCTGTTTGCGCTCACTGACGTCATGAACGTACATGAGGCGCTGTTTTAAACTCCTATAACTCGAGTTTAAAAGCTCTTAAAAATATAACAGCAGTATTAAAATGTTTTATGCTGTCTGTGTTCAGGAAATGATTGTATTCTTTTATAATAAAAATGTTTAAGCATTTATAAACTATGATTTCATTCAAATGCTCCATATCAACCCATTCATTGTAGACACCCACAAGACATTACAGAGTGGTGGTTCTCCTCTCTACATGTTCGCTGGCCCAGTTTCACATCCCGGTCCGGACTGTACTTCCTAAGGACCTTCGGCCAGAGTTAGCGAGTTAGCACGTTTGTTTACAAATATTTTGAAGTTCACAAAAACTCAGGCACTTTCATATCTACCTATGCTTTTTAAGATTCCGCCCAGAGTTGTTGATTGACAGCTGTGATATATATGACTCATCCAATAACACTGTGGAAACTGCAACTGGAAAGCAAGGGAAGTGAAATCAGGGCGGGGATGCGAGACTGGGCACCTCACTGGTGTTTGGTTTGTCCGTTCTGGGCTACTGTAGAAACACAGCGGCATAACACGGCGCCCTCTGTTGGAAGAGAAGCCGCTCTCTCTGTAGATGTGAAGGGCACGAACACAATGATTCATAGTTACAGGTGATTATACAGTAATGACAACATGGTTTTAGATACAACACTCCCTTTCTGCTAATAGATCCTCCTAAATCTTACACACTGCACCTTTAAGCCTTCGCGTGTGAGGTTATGTTTTGTGAATGTGAACCTGGTGAGATTATTTTTCTCTATTTTAATCCATTCTTTTCCTTTTTATGTTCCTGTAATCTTGAAAAACATTCTATTAAATTCTATATTCTTCTTTTGAAATGAAGCATGTGGTGCTTTTGCATCACAGAAATGGAATAAATGAATCATGTATCTTAGCCACGCTGTGGTAAATTACCCAACAAAGGACCGAAGCAATATATGGACACCAAACATATCTCGACTGACTGACAACAACTGGGGAAAATTGTACATTCAAGAGCATTTAAGCTTTTTTAGTCACTGGACAATTCGATGTGTTGTTTCACTGATTTGTAAAGCAGCACTATGTAATATTTTTTGTAGCATTACTGAGTTACAGAGAAAAAAGAGCACACTAAAAGGTGTGTGTGCCGCTGCCAGTCGGCCTGCAAAGGCTGAAATTATTCATTTACTTATTGATTGTAAAGTCAGAGGTGTCGGGATGTATTTGGTAGCTTTTTCCGACCACGTCATACGTCTTTATGTATTAACGTCACACATACAGGCTCCAAAAGAAGGTCTGGCTCGATGTTTAGGTCTCAACTGCAAAATCAACATTATAATAATTCGCTCACATCCTTGGAAGACAGTTTGACTGAGCTCTCTTTGAATTCTCTTTCAATGCACTTGCTAAAGTCAGATTCATCCGCTTGTCCGAAGCACAACTGGTGTTACAAAATGTTCTTCTGCATGTTGCCTGCAATTACACATTTCCACCAGAGAGGTCTCCAAATCCCCAAATCCTACATACTGTTGCTTTAAAGCACATCGTGTCAGGCGCTAGTACTAACAGGCCAAAACAAAGGACTTCTGCAAGCTGCACACCTGATTCAGCTCATCAGCTAATTAGCAAGGCCTTCATGAACTGAATTCAGAGCGTTAGATGAGGGTAAACGCTGATCTCAGCCCGGAAGGTCCCCAGGTTGTCATTCCTGCACTAAAGGTAAGAAGAACATACTGTCAGCTGAAAGAACAGAGGAGAACAAATAAAACACACCACTCAGATTAAGATATAAAGTAAAACTTTATCATAACGTAGACGTGGAAAGCCCTGAGAACCACAGATTTAATATTACTGATGTGAACAAAACTGAATGAGAACTGAGTTTTGAAAAAAAAAGTGCTCCACTTTTAAATACAATCAGCACAAACCAGTTTTAACAAGCATTCACATGGGTTCCGTCCTAAATCTTGTTTTAATTAGAAGAGAAAAAAAAACCCTAACATCAGTAATATTGTTATTAATATATCAATAACAACATTATAATAATATAACAACAGTACAAAAATATGCACAAAGCCCACTGCTCAGTTTCCAAATGGAGCATTTGTACAACTTTAAGCAAAAAAAAAAATAAAAACCAAAAAGATAAATGAGGTATTCCAATAACCACTTGCATATGCAATCTATAATACACAGAATCTGAACAGAACGAGGAGGAGCGCCGAACCGTCCCGGAAACAGTCAAACTAGCACTTAGGAAGATTGTGTCTATCAGTGTTACGCACGTCCATTAGTTCAGCAATGCCCATGCAGAGGAGCTCATTCTCTCTCTATCTCTCTCGCCCGCTCTCTCTCTCTCTCACACACACAGGATTCCTGTATGAAAACTGTCTTGCGTTCTGGCGCCATCTGGAGGCCAGAGGTTACAGCTGAGAACACTTTGGTGATGATTTGTCAAAGACGCTTCTGTAGATGATGAAGTCCGACAGAACCGTTACTTCCATCATCGTCCGGTCATCTGATGTGCAAATGTGTGGACGCTTACAAACACAGAGGAAGATATTTCTAAAGCCAGGAATTCAAAAGTCCACAGAGCTGTTCAAAAGTTTGGAATGACTTCCTGTCATGTTGTCATATTAATGATTTTTATAGAACAATGTAGCACTGAATAAAAGCTTGAGACTTATTATTTACTGAAATTCCAGAAAGTTAAGTACAAATTTCATTTTTCAACAGAAAACAGTGAGTGTGTTTACATGCACTCAATAAGAAATCTGATAGAGAGCTGGATTTTAGCTCAGTAATCAGATTTCTCAGTGCGTGTGAACTCTTCTTTCGGATTTCTCAGTCTGAGCATGTGCGAAAACAGACAGCGGCGCCGGAAAAAAGCAAGCAGCGTTGTTGTTAAATGCAGCAAAACACTTTTGGAACGACACTGAAACCAAACACGAAATTAAGGATTTAAATATTCTTCATCTTCTAGATGTTTCATGTTCATATTTTCAGGTAAAGTGGTGCGATGTTTTTAAAAAAAAAGCCGTGGTATGAAGTTTGAGTTTTACACGTTTACGTCACGTCTTCTTCTGTGAGTCTATTGGCTGGCTGCAAAGCAGAAATCCGATTATTGTCTGACTCATGTAGTCCCAGAGTTTCCCCATTATCTGATTACCCAAGTTCATGTAAATGTGTACATCAGATTACTGCCTAAATCTGATTTTCTGCAGTAACCAGATTAAGTGTATGTAAACGCACTCATCGTTGCTGCTCTCGTCCCTCCTGAGTCCTCTATGCCTGTTAGTGACTGATAACAGGACGTGTTCTTTTAGGCCGCTATCCACTCATCATTATTTATCTATTTAATTAGATTTAAATTTGTATATTATCAGCTATGATTACATTATCTGTATGTTTATTATCTTTGAAGGTTACCATGGGGGGTGGGTTGTTTTAGTCCGAATCGGTCTCTGTAACGAATCAATGCATGTCTATAGATTTCATCATTCGCTGTCCAAAACTCAAATGATATAAAAAGAGAGGAAGAAAATTGGACAGCAGAAGCCTCAGCAACTACATAGAATTTTTTAAAGTATTTATTGTCTATTAATATTCATTTCTTGACCCAAAATTACTATAAATACCTGTTGTAACTGTATTATAACTTAGAAATCTCAAAGCGATACAGCTTTCTCAATGATTACGTAATCATCTACAGCTCTGTTCATCATCAAAAACATGATTCCAAACTTTGATCAGCAGTGATTAACCGTGTATCCTGTTCATTTCCCATTAAATGAAAAGAAATATGCCTGATACTGTATATCAGCGTTGTTGGAACAAAACTTTGCATTTCCAAAAAGTAACATTACAGCTGAGGGAAAGATGTTCTTACCTTGTTTACACAACAATATTTCATACTGAGACATTCTGCACAGTTTCTATTGGGCTGTTTATCTTGAAATTCTGTCACAATGTTAAGAGCAGCTGAAAAGAGACAAGCTTTGGTTCCGACACTGAACTCCGAGCAGAGATTAAGGCAGAGACTATATCCTTTTGTTATGTGAGGACAGTTTATACTTCATCGTGGGCCGGTCTGCTGTAAGGCAGTCTGTAAACCTAACTGAAAGTGTAGCAGCTTGTTTTAAAGGGAAAATGAAAAAAGCAGCTGGTTTCACGGACATGGATTAAGCCTAGTCGGATGTTTTAGCATCAGAAATCCTATTTAGTTCACACTGACCTAAAAGGTTACTTGCAGGTAAATAAACTGCAGCAAATCGACACAATGCTTGCTTACTCGCGGCAGGAACTGTGCTGATGTATTACACTGTAATCATGTGGAAATCTGACTCTACAGTAAACACTCTGGCCTCGTAATAACGCACATGCACACTTTTGGAATATCACTTTCAAGCCCAGCAGCTGGAGAAGCAAGGATTTAGATAAACTTACAAAGGAGGCCAAAAATTCAGGATGAAGAGAAGTTTGGCAAAACGCACTTCCTGAGCTTAGAGAGGGAACGACATGGCGGTTTGCCATGCTGAGGCATCCGTGCGGCAGCAGGTGGCATGTTTTGTGGCTACTGACTCAGCGCTTGGCTCTTCCCTTATAAACCACAGTGTAATCTGGAGTGGATGAATGAAATTGTTTGAAAGACCATCTCATTTAATAATCGTAAAAAGATTAAATGACTGCCATTAACTCGTGTGTCCAGAGAGTTCATCTGTTTCATTCTAAAGCACTCAGTCGGCCTCGATCTGTAACCAAATTCATGGTAAAAGTTACTGATATATCTGGTCAAACTACTTTTTTTTGCAATCTATTACGTGAAAATAAGTTAAAGCGTCCACATCCTACATTTTTATGCATTATATTTTTTCCTTCAGGTATGGTTATAACATTTGTGTGGTTTTATGTACCCAAAACGGTCATAATTCATGTTTCCAACCTCTCTAAATCCCTTAGAATTAATCAGACTGTTTTTGCTCAAGTGCCTTTAAGACTTATACAAATGAGCTCTGTTCTGATTGGCTGCTCTCATCAATAGGTGCACATTTGCACATCACAGAAACAATGAATTCTTTGAACAATGTTTACATACTACTTCAAACAAGGAAAATGTCTTGTTATTATTTGGCCCTTATGGGAATAAATTTAATTATGACAATTTTCTCACAAACCTTGAGGTCAATTTCTATTTATTTGCTGAGTTTAACATACTGGAAGAAAAAAAACAAAAAACTAAATCCAAAATGTGCCATGACTTTTGCACAGGCTTTCTTCTTTGCCAATATATCAAACACAGCAAATAAACAGCATCAGAAGTGTGTTCTCACACTTTCGTAGAGGACGTGGTAACTTATTTTCACGTCGACAAAAGACATCAATTGACCGGGGGTGCCAAAACTTTTGCACACGGCGGTTCTACCGATGATAATGTGTGTACACATCAACTGAGGAGGAGGCCGGTGTGATCTAGTAAATGTCCTTTCAGTATCTAATCATCATTTTAATTTAAGCAGGCTTTTAAAATGCTTTAAAAGGATTTAGATCTGAATTTGGGGAAAACCTGGATCATCCGGATTTACTAAAACTAGCCCAGTCTTTCGTCAGTAGCTGGTCATAAAGGGAAAAAAGGCCATTGCAGACCATCGAGTAACAGCCACCTACTGTTCAAACCTTCAGTCTTGCGCAGTGTAGAGTCTTCCCTGCTCAAATACTTCACGTTCCTAATGATCAAGCTCTTCTGAAGCTTTACTGCACAGACTTCCAGCAGGGAAAACCACTGGACTGTACAGACGTCCAGCTCCGAGTCATAAACCTTTGGTAAATATTGTATGACTTGGCATCTTTCACGGTGGGGGGGGGGTGGGGGGGGGGTCAGAGGAACAGGCAGAAAAGGCTGAGCTGTTCTTTGGTAATCTAGCTGTAAGTCACAGTATGAAGAGGTCAGAGACACACCTGATTGTACAAATGCAGAACATTACATGGTCGCTAGGGTGACCCACGAAGGGTGACCCACGAAGGGCGATCAAAGAGACAGGCAGAGATAAACAGGGAGAGAAAAAGAGAGAGAGAGAATTCGTGTCATATCAGTCCGGAAATCTGCCAGGAGATTGTGATCCAGCAGTCCGGAATGGTGCTAAAGTTCCAGATACTCCAATCTAGCAATCCGGAATCATGCCATCTCATATCTGGATCGGAATATCAGGAACAAAAGCATAATTACGGTATGCGGGACAGGAATGCTGCTGTGCAACATTCCATAATTATGCTTCCATACCTGATATTCCGATCCAGCAATCCAGAATCATGCTAAAGTTCTGAATATTCCCATCCATCAATCTGAAATGGAGCTTATGTTCCAGATATTCCTGTCCAGCATTCTGTAATTATGCTTCCGATCCTGATATTCCGATGCAGCAATCCGGAAAGATGCTTACGTCCAGGATAATCCGATCCAACTATCCAGAACGGTGCCTGCATTCCAGATATTCCGATCCAGCAATCCAGAATGATGCTTACATTCCAGACCGTCCAATCGAGCAATCCGGACTTTTAAGTCCCGGAACAGCCCGCTTGAGTCCCATTGGCATGGCAGCATGAGGTATGTAGTGTAGTTCTCCATCGCAGAGCATAAGGTATTCTTTGGAAAACAGTCTCATCCATGTTCTGTGCATATTTCCGTATAACTGTTTTGTTGAAAGACGTCACAATACTTCCTGAGAAAGCTGCCTTCCCACCACGGGAGGCAGAGGTTACTGTGGTTTGAAAAAGTGTTTGTTACAGCATCTCAAATCCTGAGAAGACTTTCCCTTCCCTGATGTGGTATAACAACAGTTCGACTGTGAGGTAGAGACTCGAGGGCTCCCTGCAAAACTCGAACAACAGAATTACAACGTGTCCCCTGTCGTCTGAATAGCTTGAGACCAATCCATGCTCTCTGGAAGTGATGTCCATTAGATTTCTATGATTGCTATCGGAGTTGCTGAGGTTCCAGAGCCACCTTTGAATTGTTGGTGCAGGTTCTGGTGAGTTAAGGCCTTTACACACCGAGCGTAAATTATTTGTGTGTTTTTTTGTACGTCAATAAATTTATCTGAACACCTTTGTAACTGATATGTTTCACGCCAAATGCAATTTTTCGCACGGCAACCAATTTTTTTTTGCACTCTGGACTTCTACTGACACACTTGACCAGCTGACAGATCAGTGCTGTCCAGCAACTACAACTTTCTAGCATCTTCACCTCAAACTGACTTACGGATATCAGAGCGATATGCGAGAACACTTATAGCTCCTGAATGAGGAAGCAAAACTCCCAATTTCCTTTTGCGTTTCCAAATTGGAAAATATCCCATCCCATTCCCAAAATATCCCAATTGTTTTGTGTGGAGCAAAGGATGTCTTCTTGCACTTGAAGACATCCTGCCCATCCGTTTTGGTTTTGTTTCCTGGCATGAATGACGGAGTAAAATTCCTCAAAATATCACCACGTCAGGTGCGTACGGTTTTGATGCGGAAAAAATTGGAATTTTGCGCATTTTTGTGTCGTTTATTTGCATCACGCTCGATGTGTAAGAGCCATTAGTCTGGGTTGTACACAGTGGAAATGCCTTAGTGAGGAAACAGCTTGACTACAAATGGAAAACTGTGTGAACTGATTATGTCCTGATTTAGGAAGTTGGGGCTATGCTTGGGTTGGGTTTGAACGGCCTTATCTAGCTCAATTATTTGCCAATAACTAAATAACATACTAGACTGAATGAATTCTTGTTTTCTGGAATTTTCCATAGCTTCCAAAAAATAACCCAAACCAAAACAAAACAACTACTGCCCCAATCCCAAGGCCACACAGCATTTGCTGACTGAAAAAGGGCTGTACCTGGAGCAGCCGTCTTCCCAAAATGGGAATCGTACAGTACTGAGCTGGGTATAAACCGGGTCTTTAGAGTGGGAGAGGCAATAAACAGTCTGTTGGTCAGAAATACTGAGTTTGCTCCTGAAAAGACGACACAAAAGTATCGGAACTGCTACGACCTTCAAAGCTGCCATTGGTTTGGTTAGTGAGAGGGATGTATGTGAGGTATTTGCAGGTTATGGTGATGTCCAAGCCATTCAGAGCGAACGGACAAGGCAATGAGGTCACTGAGGTCAAGAACTTTGAAAGCTTTTCACGAACGTCCGGTTGCATTGAATTCAAGCTCACGATTTGGCTCCGTTTGCAGTTGGGACATCTCGGTGATCAGAACGTCCTTTCCTTCTCTCTGACCTCTCATCCAAATGAGCATCGTCACGGCAACGAGAGAAAAGTGAATGCATAGCAACAAAAGCGTGTGAGGCCCCTTTCTGGGAAGATCACCTCTTTTCCTGATTCTGACAAATTCAAATACATTATAAAAAATAAAATTCATCCAGCTAAAGTATTTACTAACAAACTCCTGAGGTAAAGATATTCTTGTAATATTCAATCACAGCGGATTGCTTGATTTGAGGTATGTCATAAGCGGAAAAACTCAAGAGGGAAAAAAAAAATATTCAAAAACAAAAAAAAAAACACCCCAAAAATCAGAAGACAACAAATAGCAACACTTTTCTTTTTCTAAATAAAAATCTTCAAGTTCTGTTATGAGCGCCTGTCAGTTGATTTTGGCTGAACGTCGTGATTGTGTTTAGCGTTTAGAGTATTCGGTCTGTGTCTATGTACGCGTATGGTAAATATATCTGAACATATGTAGACAGCCAAGACCGACAGGAGGAAAATGAGGTACTGGTTGTGCAACAGTTTGATTTTCAAAACATCCATGACTGCTTTGTTCTGGCCTGGAGCAGGCTGGAGCCTGGGCAGCGGGTGAAGGCTGTGTCCAGGCTATGGAGAGCCGCTGGCGGAGGGCTCCGCTGAGCTGGGGCCCTTAGAGGAAGAGGAAGAGGAGGGGCTGTGACTGGGAAAGCTGAAGACCGCGCTGGGTGCCACGGGAGGCACACTCACTGCAGCGGATGCACTCACTGGAGTTGTTGCTGACTTTTGAGCAAAGAGCGTTCCTGAAAAAGAGAAATGAGTGGAAAAAGATCAGTAAAACTACACTATACACTGTCAGAAATAAAGACTCTGTGCAGTACAAATAAGTAAATACATACAAAAAACATAAACATAAAGAAATATCGACATTTCAAGGACACTTTAACCAGGCTTTTATATTTGACATTCAATGAGACACACTTTTAAAACCTTTAGTCTCCATAATGTCAATACTTGAAAGCGGCAGTGCTGTTGTAAATGAATGGCTAGACTTCACCCCAATCCCATTTTACCCCTTGCCCCTACTAAATAGCCCTTACCCCTCTGTTTTGTGCATTCACGTCTAGGGGTAGGTGTCCCAACTTTTGTTGAGATAGAGAAGTAGGGTGAAGTGTTAGGGCTACATGGCCCTCCAAACAGAGGTTTTTCAGAGGTGAGATGGCTGCACAAGCGACCAAAGAAACCCACAAATGTGAGTATTTTCATTGTTAAAAATTACAGTAACCACTGTATTATTTTAGTTATGTAAGTAATGTCATTTTAATGTATTCTGGTCCTTTTCTTCAGAACAAGTATAAAATCGCTAATAGCATGCTGATGTCTCGGTAGCTAGGTAGCTAAATTTCCCATTCCACCTTAAATAGTCCAGCAGTTCTGACGCCTTAAGCGCCAGAATGTAACTGCTGCACCATTTAAGGTGAAACAGGGAAAATTCGAACGAGAAGTTGGCGAATCGCTGACTTCAGCTTCATTTCACTGAAGAATCAGAGGTGGGCGATAATAAATATTATTGCATCTCATTTTTTGAAGGCATATGATGCCCTAAATGTAACCAAAGCCCAGCAGCGATGTTGGTGAACTTTTCCCTCCTCTGTTATCATGGCAGACTGGCAGGGTCGCCTACAGAGCAGCGCTAGTAGCCTGTTAATTAAGATTTCAACCACTACCCCTAGTAACTAGTAGGGGTAAACATAAGAAATTGGACTGGGCCTTCATCTGAATTTAGGCCAGGGGTCTCAAACTACCAGCCAGGCAGTTTCACACAACCCCTTTCATATATTTATCACTCACTTTTGATACATTTTAGTATCATGATATGTGAATAGTGTCAGTACTGACCAACTGACCAACACTGCATAGTGCAGTATGACAAACACTCAATCAAAATAATTTTATTTTAGGTTTTGTTGGCATGTTTTAAATGTGTGCATTGTATCTGTGTCAACATATTGTGATATGTATTGTGTATCATTTAAACATCTTTAAATATCATGGAATGATATCTTTGCCATATCGCTGACCCCTACTGGGAGGCATGTGATGCGTACCTGAGTAGAGGACACCATTGACCTCCACAGATACGCTGATGCTGGCAGCTCCAGAGGAGGAGATGCTCATGGCCAGGTCGTGCTTGTCTTCTGTAAAAGTGCAAAAACAAAGGAGTCACAAACAGAGCCTTGAAGGGTCGACACGAAGTCGAATTCATTCATTCACTTTGTCTCATCATCTCAATGTTCTAAACGGTTCTCCAGATTTATTCCCACCCTAATCAGAGCCCTACCTACAGACCCAAACTCTCCACACTACTGTTCCAGGTTCTCCATTAAGATGGTACTGGCCCGCTGACCACCACCAACTGCTCTAAACAGCACTGACCATGATTCCTAACACTACATGGTTAAGAAACCACCTCCTGTTGTAGCTGGTACTGACCCCTCGGTGGCATGCCCAGTCTCAGGTTCATGGGCATCTGTGAAGCCATGGCCAGCAGGTTGTGTTGGAAGGCCTGCTGCATCAGCCTCTGCTGCTCCTCAGCCAGGCGGGCCATCTTCCTCTCTGGACCCTCGGCACCGCCGCCTGTCTCCAGCTTCTCCCGCAACTGCTCCAGAGTGGCTGCCCGGGCCAAACCGGCCACCTGCTGCGGCCCCAGAGCCAGCGCCAAGGAGGGGGCCCGTGCTGCCAGCAGAGACGGGGAGGCATCTTCTGAAAGCAAGGAAATTCATCACTGCTTTTTGAGTGCAAGTATGTCTTCACTCTTACCCCAAACACAGTCAATCAGCCAGGATGTTTGGTGTCTGCATCTTTAGTTTTATGCTGGAGCTGCAAGGCTAATGCAGCTAACATTCTCACACAGTATGCTCAGTAATATCAAATAGACCTGCGTATATTTTTTAGACACTGTATGACAAACTATCGTCCATAAGCTTCGACAAAAGGACAGACAAAATACAGGATGTCCGCTGTTTTTGGCTTTTTAGCTATTGATATTTAGGTACAGTAACATTGTACACTATATGGCCAAATGTATGTGGATACCCCTCCTGATTAATTTCAGGTGTTCCAGCCACAACCACTGCTAACAGGTGTGTGAAATCAAGCACATAGCCTTGCAGTCTCTACAGACATTAACTGACAGTAGAGTGGGCTGTCCTGAAGAGATCCTGACTTTAAATGGGATTCTGTCATAGGATGCCACCTTTGCAACAATTCAGCTTGTGAAATTTCTGCCTTGCTAGATCTGCCCTAGACAACTGTAAGTGCTGATACTGTGAAATGGAAGCATCTCGGAGCAACAACAGCTTAGCGGAGAAATGACGAAGAGGTAGGCCACGCAAATTCAGAGCAGGACAGCCAATTACTGAAGCACGAAGTACGTAAAAATCCCTATCCTCTGTTGCATCACTCACTAGAGACTTCCAAACTGTCTAAGGCAGCAACATCAGCATAATGTTCTGTTCCTGAAATGGGCTTCAATGGCTGAGCAGCTGCACACAAGCCTAACATCAGTATGTGCAATGCCAAGCGTCGACTGGAGCGATGTAAAACACCACAACTGGACTTTAGAGCAGTGGAAACATGTTCTCTCGAGTGATAAATCACACTTCACTGTCTGGCTGTTTGATTGACAAATCTGGGTTTGGCAGATGACATCAGTAAAGTTTGGTGGAGGAGGGATAATGGGCAGGGTTTACCCCCGGAGTGAAGTCCCTCCAGTTAAGGGTGATGTTGATGTTACAACATACAAAAACATTTTAGACGATTATACGCTTCCAACTTTGGGGCAGCAGTCTGGGGAAGAGCCTTTCCTGTTTCAGCATGACTGAGCCCCACAAAGCAGGCTCATTAAAGACATGGTTGGATGAGTTTGGTGTGGAGGAACTCCAGTGGCCAGGACAGAGCCCTGACCTCAACCCCACTGAACACCTCTGGGATGAATTAGAATATTGACTGCAAAGCCAGGCCTTCTTGTCCAACATCAGTGTCTGATCTCACAACTGCTCTTTTGACTAAAACACACAAATTCCCACAGACACACTCCAAAACAATAGTAAGCAATAATAGTAGTAGTAGTAGTAGTAGTAATACTACTACTACTACTAATAATAATAATGTGTTCATTTAAAGCATTAAGAACTCAACCACTACAGTATGCTTTCTCTTCATATATTGACTATGTGTTCAAAGATATTATCCATCTATCTTATCCATAATGACACTCATTCGCGCCCTGGTTGGCTGAGCGCTAAGTTAGTGAAATGTTTTGGAGATTTCTACACACTAGTAAGTATAATACAAATAGCATAGTATACTATCAAACCATTAACCACATCAGATGTTCCAGAGAGGAACCAGAAAAGAAAATTCTGAAACCCCTAACAAACATTTCTTGACTCGTATAAGACTGTAGTTTCCAAAAAGTGCAGAAGGGGGCGCTGTTCACCAATATATAAATCACAACCTGCTGTGTTCATTTCACACAGTAAACTGAATACACTGCATACACAGTGATGTGGGACTGTTATTTATTATTAACTTATTCTCACTTATCTCTTATTCTAAAGGAGACCATGCAATATTGGCCTTTATACAACTACAGTGTGTAAATGCGATGCTAATGCTAACTTTTTGGGAATGTGTTGTTGGCATCAAATTCAAAATGGTCATATTTTTTCAAAAAACAATACAATTTCTCAGTTGCAACATTTGATTTGTTGTCTTTGTACTATTTTCAATGAAATATAGTGTTTAAATGATTTGCACATCATTGCATTTTGTTTTTATGCACATTTTGCACAGCGTCCCAACTTTTTGGAAATGGGGTTGTATATGAGACCGTAAAATACGTGAAACACTGAATAAAACATCTGAAATACCTTTAGTGTGGGGTTTATATTATTTAAGTGTACACTGGGTAAATTATTGTTGAGTTTGTAAAAATGTTACCACAAATGATTTCAGACTTTTGCAAGACATCCGTTTGTATTAAATGTGTGTCCCACTCACCGAGCCCCTTCTTGATGGATGGTCCCGGGGAGCCCTGCAGGCCGTTCAGCGCCCCCGCGGCTCCAGGCCCGGCGCCCAGCGCTGCCAGGTGCATCTTGGGAGGTGATAGGATGTGTGATGCGGTGCTGGGGGAGGGGCTAAAGCGGAACAGGCCGCTGCTGCTGTAGCTGGGTCGGCGGCCCTCGCGCCGGTTGCTGTCGATGGCGGCCTGCAGCTCGTTGGGCGAACTCAGCCCTTTCCGAGCGCATTCGTACGGGTACAGATACTTCATATACCTGAAACAGACACGCGGGAGTCACCTTCAACCACACGATCCAGTAAAGCTTTATTACCCATTATAGACAATGATTCAGTCGTTTGATTCACTGATCTTGATGATTCACTGTCTTAATGGACCCGTTATCAGGGAAAACTGTAAAAATGATTTGTAAATGATTTGGTAAATAAATTTTTTAGATTTTTTAAATTAATCTACGCTCCATTTTATCAGCTCCACTGACCATATAGATGCACTTTGTAGTTCTACAGTTACAGACTGTAGTCCATCTGTTTCTCTGCATACTCTGTCACCCTGTCCTTCAGTGGTCAGGACCCCCATGGACCCTCACAGAGCAGGTACTATTTGGGTGGTGGGTCATTCTCAGCACTGCAGTAACACTGACGTGGTGGTGGTGTGTTAGTGTGTGTTGCACTGGTATGAGTAGATCAGACACAGCAGTGCTGCTGGAGTTTTTAAACACTGTGTCCACTCACTGTCCACTCTACTAGACACTCCTACCTTGTCGGTCCACCTTGTAGATGTAAAGTCAGAGACGATAGCTCATCTGCTGCTGCACAGTTTGTGTTGGTCATCCTCTAGTCCTTCATCAGTGCCCACAGGACGCTGCCCACAGGACGCTGTTGGCTGGATATTTTTGGTTGGTGGACTATTCTCAGTCCAGCAGTGACACTGAGGTGTTTAAAAACTCCAGCAGCACTGCTGTGTCTGATCCACTCAGACCAGCGCAACACACACTAACACACCACCACCACGTCAGTGTTACTGCAGTGCTGAGAATGACCCACCACTCAAGTAATAAATGCTCTGTGGGGGTCCTGACCACTAAAGAATAGGGTAACAGAGTATGCAGAGAAACAGACGGACTACAGTCTGTATCTGTATCAGGTTCAGACAGAGGTTTGAGTTTAAATCTTTACTGAAGGACTCAATATTCAAACTCTAACACCCAAGGTAAAGAATACGCTACATGAATGTTTGTTACAGCCTTCAAATATCTGTGTCTAAGGCAGAGTTGCTACTAAATGTATACACCACTGTTGGCCTGGTTACTTATGTAAATATCTGACCTCACACTCATTAAATTAAGCTTATTTAAAGAAAGATTCAATGCAACTCATCAGGATTTCATTTCATTTATTTGATTATAATAATTTAAAACATTCCAAAATTGCTTATTGTGCACCTTCTGATTTTTCATAAGTCACTGGATCCTTTTCATTTGCCAGCTATTGATTTGAATGATTCAGTATTCAGTTATTAAAGCTATTCGCTGTAAAACTAAACTCCCTTCATGATCTTTTATCGCTTTCAGTAATGTTGGCATATTTTTTGGAACATTTTTTATTACAAAATAAAAAATTAATAGCATGAATCATAACTGACAATCTTTTAGTATTTTCCTAATATCGGAGTCATCAGGGAACTCATCTGTGGTTTCTTACAGCAGGGAAAGCTCGATTTTGATGCTCTTCTAAATGGAAGTCATGAACTGCAGCTTTCTGCACGGGGCTAAATTGGTAGTATTGATTAAGATATGATTAATATATGATCAGCTGTACAGCCTTACAGAATACCTGAGTAAGCTAAAAACAAAGAGACTAACCAGAACTCCAATCTGTGCTTTATGATCACAGCAGTTTTTTACGTCTCATAAATCACACGCCATCTCGAGCATGTAACGGAGGACACTGTCAATCAATACTGAGCTTTCAGCATATCAGGGGAGCACAACTTAATGACAGAACAGAGAAGAAGTAATACAAAACATGAGAGAGAGAGAGAGAGAGAGAGAGAGAGAGAAGGAGAGAGAGAGGGAGGGAGGGACGGAGGGAGGGAGGAAGGGAGGGAGGGAGAGAGAGAGAGAGAGAGAGAGAGAGAGAGAGAGAGAGGGGGAGAGAGAGAGAGAGAGAGAGAGAGAGAGAGAGAGAGGGAAAGAGAGAGAGACAGAGAGAGGGACAGAGAGAGGGAGAGAGAGAGAGAGACAGAGAGAGGGAGAGAGAGGGAGAGAGGGAGGGAGAGAGAGAGAGGGAGAGAGGGAGAGAGAGAGAGAGAGAGAGAGAGAGAGAGAGAGAGAGGGAGGGAGGGAGGAGAGAGAGAGGGAGAGAGAGAGGGAGGGAGGGAGGGAGGGAGGGAGAGAGAGAGAGAGAGAGAGAGAGAGAGAGAGAGACAGAGAGAGGGAGAGAGAGAGACAGAGAGAGGGAGAGAGAGGGAGGGAGGGAGAGAGAGAGAGAGAGAGAGAGGGAGGGAGGGAGAGAGAGGGAGAGAGAGAGCTCCCATATACTACAGTTGTGGTGAACTTTGACCGAAATTTCATCAATAAATCCATATGATCAATAAGCTTCTCTAGTGGGAGCAGAATTTGATGTGAAGGGAGAGGAAGAGAGTGAGACATAAGGTGAGAGGAAAATTGAAACATTTATGGAAAACAAGACAAAAAAATATTTCTAATATTTACATTTGGTAACACTTTATAATTAAAAAATGTTTAATAAACCATTAATTGACCATTAATACCTGTGAACAAATCATTGGTACATTTACATTTGAACAATATATATACCTTCAGTATATATATATATATATATATATATATATATATATATATATATATATATATATACACACACACACACACACACACAAATAATAATACTAATTATTTACTAATTACTAATTATTTGTTTACAGCTATTTATGGTCAGTTAATGTTTTATTAAACTTAATTATTATTATTATTAGTAGTAGTATTTATTTTCTTTATTTATACTTGGTTATTATTATTTTAATTATTATTATAATAAGATGTTGCCTTATAAAGTGTTACTTTCTTACACAAACAGCATTCAAATATTCCACTGACCAAATACTTTACATGCTATGAAGGAAAATGAAAACACGCTGAGTTTAACATTTGTTTATTGACTTCAGTGTGAGAGGTGATCTGTTTATGGCAGCTTGGTTGATCTAGTGATTTGTGTTTATGTTCTAGTTGCACCCTGTTTTAAAGGGGAATTCCACCAATTGTTTAAATTTCTGAATAAATAAGTCAATTAGATGTAAACAAAGTCATTTAGAGTGGTTGAATGTTCATAGTGGTGGTGACAGGAACCAGACGTCTGAAGAGTTTAATGCCTCTGAAAGCTCCTTCACAGCAAGTTATTAGACAAAACGGTTATGGACGCACTGCCTGATGCCTCAGATGTTTGTATGTACATTTTGAGAGGAGGGTTTGGCCTAAAACACAAGTTTTTAAAATTGATTCACAGTGCATTCAGGACATCCAAAGAACCCCCCCACCCTCATACTAACACTGCACGGATATTCCATTTAAAGCCCTACACAGACATTCGGCTGAACATGAGCTGCTTGTGTACTAAACATCCATAATTATAATACACATTATTATTATTATTGTTGTTGTTGTTGTTGTTGTTGTTGTTATTACACATGCCTTATTTAATCCCTTTTTCAGTTTGTGTAAACGAGCTGATATGGGTGTGTATTTGTCTGCGTACTGTGTGCGGAGGGTGAAGGCTGCGCTGGTTATGGAGGTGGGGAGATTGAGGCCCTTGGTGATTTCTCTCCAGATCTTCTTGTTGATGACTTCCACCAGACCCCCCTTCTCCGTCACCAGCTTATACAGCATGTACAGATCCAGCACCTGCTTGGCCATGATGGGGATTCTGTTTACTGGAGTTCCTGCAAACACATCGGCACATCACGCATTAATGTCTCATCGCACATCAACACACTCAACACTCTGAAGGAACTCTGTTTTAGGAATGTGTGGATTTTCAGAAACAGCATCAACTGAACTGCAGTTTCAAGCTTTTAGGAAGTTAAGAACATATTTATTTCAAAGAATTCAGCAATGATCCAATAATCACCACTGCAAACGCTTAGGTACATTACGTTCTGTTGATTTTCGAAGTGAAAATAAGTTAACCATGAGATATATGAGATCTGTTAAAACTGAAAATAGGCTACAGTATGGTGAGTGTACGCTGCTGTGAGTTGCCCCGTAAAGCCTGAAGTAATGATTTAAAACTCAAGATGTGTCTGTTCGGGAGTTTTTTCACACCGCGCCATACGCCTTTACTGATTAGCGTTGCACATATAGTCTCATATAGAAGGTCCAGCTCGATGTTTAGGTCTCAAATGCAAAAACAGCTTCACACTGATGAAGATATGATACTATATGACATGATAATTCAGTCGCATCCTCTATAGACACGTCCCTTACCAAGTTCTGACCGAGTCCTCTATGAATACTGTTTACAAGCGCTCATAATCATCATGTTCGTCACCTTGTGGACGGGGTCTGAAGCACAACCATGTTACGAAGTATTCTTCCACACACTTCGTGCAATTACACACTTTCACCAGAGAGGTCTCCAAATCCCCAAAACTTACACAGTGTAGTTTTTAGTGCATTTTATTGTATTCGTTTACTAAGTTTATTTATCTACACATTGGAAATCAATAAAATATGAAACATAAATTATAAAATCAGTCATCTTTTTTCCTTTTCCCCCCTGTTTTTCGATAAAAGATCATCGAAAACAGAATCAGTCTCATGTATTAATGAGTGAAACAGTCTCAGACCGTAAATTTTTGCAAAATCAATCCATTGAAGTGCTTAGTCAACATATTTCAGCTTATTTGTATTTATTTCCATGCACTAATAAAATAGCACCTACATTATTTAATTATTTTGTTAACTGACATATTGTATGCATACAAAAATATCTCTCAGAAACACCCACAAATTCAATTAACCTCTTATTGACCAGGGTATATTTTGGTTTTTCCACCTGAATTTACATGACCGATTTGTAAGACAAATTATTCAGTAACTGCATGAAATAAATGTAAATTTTTATTTTATTTATTAATTTTTTTAAAAGCTCCCCTCAAATTAACAGAACGTGTTTTATGATCACACATATCGCTATATGCTTACAATTTACTGCTGAAAACTGAAAATCTTAGATGCTCTTTGTAATTATTTTATAAAAATAATTTTCACAGAGCAGATCACTGAAGAGACGCCATCTGTTTATAGTTTATAGCCCAGATTTGTGGAAAAATGGGTCGACTTTCAGTAGAAAAAAAAAATTGTGAGTTCAGTTTTTATTATAAGGATTTAAAATTATATCACCCATCTATTTGACTGGAAAGAAGACAGTTACAGCTCTCATACGACCCCCACCTTTAGAATGTAGCTTATGAAATATTAAAGTTATGAAGAATATGCCGAAGTGCGTTTTGGAACCAGCGGTGGTCTCAACAAGTTCCTACAAGCGAGCTTCGAGACCAGAGTTAGGACTAGGGCCCGACCGATATATCAACTAGCTAATGTTGGTCATTTTGATAACAGAGCAACAACTGTCAACTTTTTTGGTCTCAGGAATTCACATCTCCCGATAATGGGACGAAACCTTAGACAGCCGGAACCCAATAAGAGCCGAATCTTCTTTAGTTATAAACCAGTAACACAAGCTGAACCTGTGAATCTGAATAAACCCACATAAAGTGTATCCAAACCTAACGCTGATCCAAAATCTAACCTAACCAAACCTTCAGGTGGGAACAGAAAGCAGAATAACAGAGAAATACGAGCGGCTCTGCCCCCCAGTGCTGCAACATCTGTGTGTTTAAAAAGTGTGACCATTCAGAACTGACAGTAATATCAGTCGATAAACTACTAAAACTTTTGAGCATAAAATTAAAATGTTAAATATACAGTAAAAATAAAGCTAATATTATCAAAATACTAGCTACTTGAATTGCTAGTAGCAGCAAAACTTTCCTATCACTCGGGCTTCAGTAAGGACGTCTACAAGCTACAAAAGGCACAGGTGGGCCAAGAGCAGAAAACATTAGCCCACTTTAGCCAAACAGGCTTGACCTGGAAAACAGGCCTTTCGCAAACACAAAAGCACCAGCAGCCAAGAGACTTTTGATAACGATGCATTAATCTTGTCAACAGCTTATGGAGGGGTTAGGGGTTGGGCCAGGGTGGAGGTTCTGTGGGCGCGGAGCCAAAGGTGCCGTCTGCTTACACCATATATACTCACCAGTGAACCAATAGGATTTGCATTCAAGCACTTAATAAAGCACAAGATATATACATAAGATTCTCAAATATAACCATTAATAACGCTGTGTGTGAAAACGTGACACAAAAAAAAGTTCAGAATTGACCCTTAAACTTTTTTACCAGCCGTGGTGGTAGAACTCTCCCCCACTCCTCATCAAGCTAGCTAGTAAACTGAAGACAAAACATTAAGGTGTTCTACAAATGTAAATCACAATTAATTACAATTGATTACTTATATTTTTAGCTGTCATACTACCGGTTGAATAATATATTCGTAATACATATGACAATATATTCATAATATTGTATTTCAAAGTATCATGATGTTGCATTTTTACCATTTGCATATGGCAAAAACGCAACATTACAATACTTTTATGATACACAATATGTATCGTAGTTTTCCTGAGGTTTGATAAAGTTGGAACCGAAATAAACAGAACCAGATGTGCCACATTTAAAAATATTATGAAAATCTATGATTACAGTCATTTTTGTTCAATGTTTCACAAACTCTGCTGCACTAAATGCAGTTAAACAGGATTAAATAGGTCAAATATGTGATGAAACATGCAGTTGTTCAGTGTTTCAGTACTGATGACATCACAATATTAAATAATGCTAAATAAGAAAAAAATATTAGATAAGTTACTAAATAATAACTGTGAATAAGTCATACATCACATCGACACATCAGCATGACCTTAATGAAGACCTGGATGCGGTTTGAACGGGTAGCGAGAAGGGCTGAGAATGTATCTACTGAAGAGATTTGGGTGACTACTGACTTCTAGTGCTAGCAAGCTTAGCCTCTTAGCTCCTGCACTTCATAGCTACATTTAGAAACTAAAACCTGGGGTACATAAAAAATAGATTTTTGATTTTCACTGAAAAATCAAGACCTTTCAGTGTTCCTGTGAGTTGATAATAGCATTAGCCTTAGCCATGATAACTAGCCTCTCAGGTCTTGACTATATTTGCCCCATTATGAACTTTAACAGACAATTAAGTCCAAATATTTAATGTTAGAGTCATACTAAATAAAAAAAAATCAGGAATATATCCGTCGTAAAGTTACACCATGACTGTAACATCAGTAAATACATATGTACAGCTAAGCGCTTCAGTTGCTATGTGCTAGCTAGGCTAGTCTTGCTAACTATCACAGTAGCCACAGCACAGCATCCAAATCAGACTATTTATTTATGTATTAGTTTATTTATTAAAGATTTATTTAATAGAGAGATACAAGAACATAGAAACTTGCTGATGACATTCATAGCGCTACGCTAATTTTACCTCAGGAGGGCGTTCCGTAAAAGATTCCCTCAGTGGGTTAGAAAATTTGAAAATATTAAAGGAAATTTAGACTGGATTAGGGGAAAAGTGTGACACCCCCACCTTGGCCCCACGGACCCCCGGATTACACGAGGATTGAGCAGGTTCACTAATCTGCAGACCGCAGGGGGGCACAGCGAGGCCGCTATAATGAGCATTATTTGAAGGATTGCTAATGCTAAATCCACACACTCCCCTCTCTGTGGCTTCAAGGCTCGTGGAGCGAGACTGTGTGGCAATGCTGAGACCGATCCCCCCCCTCAGACCAGCAGACACCAGAGCCATTAATGACTCTCAAACAGCAACGTGATCATCCAGGAAGATTAGCCTCGATCTGACGTCTTAACTTGGCCACATCTCTGGGCAGATTGGCTTTAATTAGACAAGGAGATGTGGCCACATGCTCGCATGTACGTACAGCGGAGTGAACACTCTCCGAGATAGAGGTCACCATTTTTACGAGTGACTGTGACAGTAAGTTTAAACTTTTAGGGTGTCCACAAACTTCATCCTCCTAAATCACCACTGTTACTAGAGACTTTAATAGACACCGCTGGCCCGTTCGATGTTCTGTACAGAGCTCAGAAATGGAGCAATACTTTAACAACTCCTGTTCTTGAGTCCCCAGTACAATGTCCCTAAACTAGCTTAAAGGGGAACTCCACCAATTTTTAAAAAACTCCACATAATTAAATGAGATGTAAATAAAGTCATTCAGAGTGGTTTGGTGTGAAATGCTCTGTTATAGAGAAACTTACAGAGTCAGAACTGTTCACAGTGGTGGTGATAGGAACCAGACGTCCACCTCTGAAAGCTCCCTCACAGAAAGTTATTATATGTTTAGAGATATGCTGCTTCCTGATCTCCGAGATTGTTTTATGATAGTTTTGTGATAAAGTTTTGGCTTAAAATGTATTTTAGTCCATTTTTTTTGATCCATTCATGGCAGAACGGTACATGCAGTCCCAAGAAAACTTAATTTTTTCAGATTTATGACTATTGTACCATTATCAACATCACACATAAAAACTTAGACACGTGTAGGTTCACTGGTGGTTTTGGATAGTAAATAAAATGGCTATATTTGTGTTGTACACATGGCAACCCCTGGTTCCTATCACCACCACTGTAAAGAAATGAGTCTCTACAATGAACCACTTCACATCAAACCACTCTGAATGACTCTGTTTAACGCCACCATATCGCATCAAATCCAATAACGATTTTTGTGAATCCCCACACAGAAAGTCACACATTG